AGTCAGACTAATTTCAAATATTATCACAAGATTTTCACATTTTTACCTTCATACATGTGAACATAGAAAATGTCCTTCCCTACATTTTCTCGATAATGAGACCCACAGTTTTCTGGAAGCTTCATAACATTTTAGTTGTATTATCCCCAGAGCTATCAAAGAGCTGCTAATTATACCTCAAATAAAGTTATGGCCTCAAACGATTCTAGAGTTATATAGCAATGACAAATAACACTAACATTCAGTGGGTAGCATTAACACATATATAATCAGTTATACTAGGAACCAGGATTGTAAAATTATAGTAATACAGATGGATGTACTTTAAATTGACACCCAAAAGAGTCTAAAATTGGCCATGTATGTATAGCAACAGTAACTCTTAATGTCTTCCCAAGTTATAACCACATTCAACTTTTTCAGTTCTATAATCTATGACACAGTTCATATACATGTATGCAAGCTTATAAAGAATACTTGCAACACTACAGGATTGAAACATAAATTGGTAGAGATATACAAGGTGATTCTCCTGCAAAAGAATCAAACTTTTAGTTTTGTTGGATCAAATTTACTATTAAAAAAGAGATGATCATTAGATGCTTTATTCTATTATTATAAAGGATATCATCTATTTTGTAGGTTGATGTCTTTACATTCAATTCTTAAATCAAACTTTATTTCCCAAGTAACACTGACCTGTATGACAAACAAAGCTGTAATTACCTTAATGTTGTCCTTGCCATCTACAAAGCTGCAAAAACGTCAGTGTAAACCGATAATACAGATATTTTGCAGTTACAAAAGGATGTTATTTTATTTCTGAGGAAAATCCATGCAGGTTTATGTCATTAACTCAAATAAGCATTATTTCAGTAATACTGACCTTGTACAATAATGACATTGAAGCTGCAAGATTGGCGCGTAGGGTATTTGCGTATAGTTTTATTTTTGATGAACATTGAATTGAAGGCTGAGGGTAGCGTATTATTATTTAACTGGTACATAAACTGACCGAGGCTATAACGATATAAATCATTTATTTTCAACACATTATTTTTAACAAATAAAACGTCAGTATGAGATCTCCAGGAAGTGTTACAAATAACACGCATAGCTTTTTTTTGTAGAAGTAGTATTCTATGAAGATAAGAATCGTATGTATTACCCCAAACAATAATACCATAATTTAAGTAGGGCAAAATTAATGTCGAGTAAAGCATTAGTAGGGAGGAGGTTGGCATAAAAAACTTAACCTTATTTACAATCCCTATACAGTGTGAGTCAAAAAAAAGTTTACACCTAGAAAATTGCTAATTATTTTAAATATCATCTATGAACGATAAATTATTGCACATCTTATGAAAGAGTGTTTTATCCCAAATCATTTGGTATAATTTTTGTGGGGTATGTGTTCACGCTTGGATGAACAGGGGGCATTGTTTGCGTAAGTGAAAAAAACGACCTGCGCCAAAGTTGCTTGTTTGATGTTTGAATAAAACAATTTGGATTTGGGTATTAATTCTGTCTTTGCAGATCGAAATAACATCCCTAACAAAATTAATCATACCACACATATCAAATATCAAAAATCAAATATCAACGAACATTTTGTCGGCGCGTGTGTGACTTTGCTTTTGCAAAAAACATTATGCTATGCATTTCATTTGATACATTCAACTCATTCTCTTACTCTTTCATAAGATGTATAATAATTTACTGTTCATAGATGATCTTTAAAATAATTAGCAATTTTCTAGGTGTAAACTTCTTTTTTACTCACACGGTATTGCGAGAGATTGTTCGGCAAATGCTATCAATATGACATTTCCATGGGAGTTTATCGTCTATTATCAGACCTAAAAATTTCATGGAAGTGACGGCTTCTATGTCAGTATTATCTTGTTTAACATTATGTGGTAAGTTACCAATAGAATTGCTGAAGAGCATACATTTTGTTTTTTGTAAATTTAATGATAACTTATTAGCTCTTATCAATTGTAACAATTTGTCTAATTCAATATTTAGTGTATTGACCAAAATATCAGGATCTGCATGTGAGAAGAGCACATTCGAATCATCTGCAAATAAGAGGAAGGAAAGGATATTAGAGGAATTTCGGATATCGTTTATATAGGAAATAAATAAAAGTGGGCCCAGTAGACTGCCCTGTGGAACACCACAATCTACATCTTGCATAAAAGAACATTGGTCGTTAATACACACAAATTCCGTAATTGTTCAATTTGTAGAGAAGTATTTTATGATCGATGGTATCAGAGGCCTTGGAGAAGTCCAGGAAAACACCCACAGTATGCTCGAATTTTTCAATAGCTTCTGTAACTTTTTCGACAAGGGTAAGTAAAGCATATGGGATGTACTATGTTTTTGGCGAAAGCCAAACTGAAAATGAGAAATTATGTTGTTTTTATTCAGAAAATTTAGAAGTCATGTGTATATTATTCTTTCCAGAATTTTTGAAAGAGCAGGCAGCAGAGAAATTGGACTAAAATTACATATTATCCCTTTCTCCTTTTTTGTAAACCGGCATAACCTTAGAAATCTTCATACAATCGGGAACAACAACGCTAGTCAAGGATAAATATGCACCAGCGGATAGACAATGTAGTTTATGACGTTTTTCAATAAAATATTATCAATGCCATCGTGTCCAGTACTCTTTTTATTTTTTCAAGTTATGAACTATATCTATTAATTCATTTCTATGTACAGGGACAAAAAATTGTGAATTGGGATTTGCCTGGTCTATTAAGTCTAAAAATGTCTTTTGCGTTGGAGGAATATCCTCTGCAAGGCTATGTCCTATTTGAGAGAAATATTGATTGAACGTATCGGCTAACTGCACTGAATCGTGAATTTCTACGTTGTTATATGTTATTTTTTCTAAAAAAAATTATCGTTATGCTTATTAATGGCACTATTTATGATTTTCCATGTTTTACTAATATTATGTTTGAATAGAATCAACTGATTTTGATTAGTAAAGCGTGTAGATGCGCAACTTCAGCCGGAGTCGCCTTTTCACCCCCACCTTTCCCTTCCCTCTCTGCATGTATCCCTGCATGGCTGTCCCTTTACCTTCCCTCTTGCTTTAATTCCTACTCTATACCCCTCCTTTTCCCCTCTCCATGTTGTATGTACAGATAGCATTTTTAGTCTATCTGTCCATAATCACCTCTCTGCATGTAACTCAACCCCTACCTCCTCGTGGTACTAATCGGATACCTGGGCCTCGCGGTCTGGGGAACTGACAGAGGCTCTGGGTAGGGAAGGAAAACCCGATAAAACCTCAGGTGTGGGGTGGTGGCCTTCTCCTTGAATCAACAGAACATCGTGGTACCAGACTGGGAATTCATTGACCGCGTGCCCAGTTTATGTGCTTTAACACACAGGTCAAAACTCCTTCGGGAAATCTACCAATCATGAACAAAAATCCAAAGCCATGGCCCCGAGTCCCGGTGGCTGCTACACGGCAGCATAGCGGCAGGGGTGCTAAGAATCTGCCGGTATTTTCAAGGCTGCCACCCTCCTTACAGGTACAAGTCGCAGAAGGAACAGCATACAACCCAAGGAAAAAGACTGCAGAGAACACAGCAAAGAAGAGGACAACAGAAGATCCATCAAGGAAAAGTAGGACTGCGCCATCAACAAGGAAGGCCAACAAAGTACAGTCAAGAAGAGCAAGTGTAAGTAGGCCAATTGTGACAATGCATCCCGCTCGTCACGGGAAGCTACCTGATATGACTAAGGATACACCTGGTGGGGTCAAAGTTGGAGAGAAGATGAAAACTAGAGGTTTGAGTATAGCAGCCTGGAATGTGAGGACAATGAAGACAACCGGGCACTGGGACATTTTAATGGAGGAAGCAAGGAGATTTCAACTAGACATCCTTGGCCTTAGCGAGACACACCTCACTGATGCAGAGACCCTCATTACTAAAGATGGGTACACCTTTTTACTGTCAAGCCGGAAAGACAATAGAAGCTGTGAGGGAGTTGGCATAATGATTTCACCAAATATACTCCACTGCCTACTGGGTTATGAAGCAGTATCGTCCAGAATGATTACAGCAAAATTCCAGATGAAAGGAGGAGTCTAGCTTGAATATCATTCAAGTTTATGCACCCACAAGTGGACATAGTGATCAAGAGAGTGATGAATTTTATGATCTGCTTCAACTACATATCCAAAAAATCCCAAAGAAAGAGAAGTTGATAATTATGGGGGACTTTAATGCCAAGATAGGATCAGACTATAAAACATGGGCACCTGCCTTAGGCAAGTTTGGACTTGGAGTGATGAATAGCAGAGGAGAGAAGCTAATGGAGTTCTGTATGATCCATATGCTAGCAGTCAGTAACACATACTTCCAACATAAGGACTGTCGAAGAGCAACTTGGACTTCGCCAGGTGGCCTATATAAGAACCAGATTGACTTTATCTTGGTGTACCAAGATGACTTAAAGAGCGTCAAAAATAGTAGGTCGTTTTGCTCTGCTGACATTGGGTCAGATCACAACCTTGTATTTAGCCAATGTACAGTTTCAGCCACCAAAAGCTAGAAGAATAAAGAGCGTACAGAAATCATATGATGTGGGCAGGTTTAAAAACCCATCTGTTGCTGAAGAATTCCAAGCCCGAATTGGTGGAGCGTTTGAACCATTGTTACTGCTGGAAGATACAGACATAGATGAGCTCTGGTTGAAGTTCATGAATACAACCAACGAGATTACCAAGCAAGTTGTTGGCATCAGGAGAGGGAAACAAGTGAAACATCTCCCAGAACATGTAAGAGATGCTTGTGAACTCAGAAGGAAGGCTAGGGTAACTAAACTGAACTCCCCTCATAATAATCATAATATTATGAAGTACCGGCGCCTTAAAAAAAAAAGTTAACAAAAAAAAAAAAAAAAAAAAAAGTTAAATATGAAGTCAAAAAGTGGAAGAGAGAGAGACTCTCGAGAAAGAAGTAGAGGAAATGGAGGCAGCACAGGCACGAAATGACAGCCATGAGCTATTTAAGAAAGTTAGAAAACTAGCTGGTGAGAAGGAGAAGATACAGCCAGCAGCCAAGAACAAAGAGGGGGTCCTCAAGACTGTTCCAGGAGATGTTTTGGATTGCTGGAAAAAACATTTCAGCACCCATCTTAATACAGAGTTCCCGAGAGACACCAACACACTTCGCAATATACATGTACCCGAACCTCCTCCTACTGAAAACCAGACTTCACCTTTTACCATAGAAGAGGTTAAAGCTGCGATCAAGGCTCTAAAGAATAACAAAGCAACTGGATTTGATAACATAGCAGCTGAAACACTGAAAGCTGGTGGTCCAGCAATGGCACAGATCTTGCTGAAGATCATCAACACTGCTTTTACACAAGGCAAGACACCAGTTGAGTGGAGCAAAGGCCTTATTACCCCTGTGCACAAAAAGGGGGATAAACTTGACCCAGCTAACTACCGAGCCATAACACTGCTATCAGTGCCGGCTTAAGTTTTCTGCAGGATTGAAGAGCATTTATCGGAAGAGCAGTGTGGATTCCGGAGCTCCAGAGGAACCACTGATGCTATTTTTATTGTCAGGCAAGTGCTGGAGAAGGCCAAAGAGAGACACATCCCATCCATTGGAATTTTGTGGACTTGGGATGCTTTATGGAAGTGCCTTCTTTCAATAGGAGTTGAGACGAACCTGATTGACCTCATTAAGTATATGTATGATCAGACCAAATGTGCTGTCATCGTAAATGGTAAAGTTACGGAATGGTTCCAAGTTAAGACAGGCATCAGGCAAGGCTGTCTTCTTTCCCCAAGTCTATTCAACATCTTCCTAGAGTTCGTGATGGCAGATGTCAAAAACCTAGACAGTGGAGTACAGATGGGTGGCATACGCTGTTACAACATCCGCTATGCAGATGACACCACTCTACTCGAACTCATCTATGACAAACTCCAAATATCAACAAACAAGCTGGTGGAAGTTTGTGGCAAATGGGGAATGAAAATCAACACAGCTAAATGCAGAATCATGACAACCGATGATGGGGAGACTTCAATAGATGGCAACCCTATAGAGAAGGTAGAAGACTTTGTCTTCCTTGGAAGTGTAGTCCCCTCTGTTACCAAAGATGTCAAGAGACGCACAAATCTAGCTTCCTGGGCATTTGGCAGACTGAGAAACAATATATGGATCAACCAAGATATTTCAAGAGCCCTGAAGGTCAGGATTTATAATGCCCTCATTCGTCCTATAGCCACCTACGGGTCTGAGACGTGGACGCTAAGGAAAACTGACCAGGATAAACTGGAGACCTTTGAGATGAGATGTCTGCGGACAATAGCAGGAGTCCATCTTCTAGATAAAATCAGAAGCGTAGACATCAGAAAGTCATTGAAAATCTCCAAGACAATAAATGAGGAAATATCCAACCGCCGCCTGAAATGGTTTGGACATGTGGTACGTATGCCACAGGAACGCCTACCAATACAAGTCCACACCAATGAATTTACTGTGCCACGGCCACCAGGACGTCCTCCCCTGAGGTGGAAAGACCAAATCCGCCAAGACTCTGGATTAAGCCTGGAGGCTGCCCAACACCAAGCCCAGGACAGAAATGAATGGAGGCAGACCACCCGTAGGAGCGCAAGGGGACACTCCGTCCTGAGCATTTAAGTCAAGTCAAGATTTGTAAAATATTTTCGTTTTTCAATACGTAATATTTTAGTGTGAATATTTTTGTAAGTGCTATATTTACGGTGAGACTTTTCAGAACGCTGAATTTTGCTTGCGTAATATAAGTTGTTTTTTCGATTGATTAATCTTAAAATTGGTTTGCATGGTCATCCATGGAAGTCTGGGGCTCTTTTTATAATTAGAAAAAATTGTCACTAATGGAATGTGTCTATCTAAATGAGACATAAAAATTGTCATAAATTTATCATACACAGTATTCGTATCATGCGAACTATTAACTTCAGTCCAATCAGCCAATTTGAGACTTTCTTTCAATCACGCTATTTAAATAGGTGTTACTCTTCAAAAAGACTCTTTAAAATACAATGACTTCGTGAAAAAATTGGGTAGTGATCAGATATGTCAGATAAAATTATTCCTGATTCAGGTAAGGGAACAACATTGCAGAAGATATTATCAATAAGGGTTGCTGTTTGGTTGGTAACTCGGGTTGGTTTTGTGATTAAAGGTAATAAGGATGAAGATAACATGATGTCCAACAAATCTTGTGAACTTTTTTGAGCTGAAGATTTAGATGTTTGGATGCATTTCCTGATTTAAATTTTGCATGGAATATTTAAAGGAAATAGCAACTTAGCAGAACAAATGTTTGCTATAAATACCATGCTTACTGCATAATGTACAACAAATAAATAAATACTACGACTACTACTACTACTACTACTACTACTACTACCTTTATACTACTATTCTACTACTCTACTACTACTACTATTACTACTACTACTTAAACACTATTACTACCACTACTACAACAACTACTCCTGCTTCTCATACTTCTAATACTTTAGTATCATTACTAAAACTACTAGTAGTACTACTACTTCTACTACTACTACCTTTATACTACTATTCTACTACTCTACTACTACTACCTTTATACTACTATTCTACTACTCTACTACTACTTCTACTACTACTACTACTACTACTACTACTACTACTACTACTCATACTACTACTTATAACGGAAAAACTGTGCATGTCATTACAAACTCGTAGCTCATGCACAGTTTTTCCTTCATAATCATTTTGCCTTCGGCGTAGACTAGAAGGGATGAGATTTCTGCTTATTGCGCTTCAGCAATGGCGCATCGTGTCGATATAGGTACTGCCAAATGAAGGAAAATTAGCATAATTTACATATTTTAGTCATGTTGGGGGAATTATCATGTTTCGTTTGGGCAATAAATAAACTTCCTTGATTATTATATCGAGGGATTAAGTGAAATAAAGAATCTACTACGACTACTACTACTACTACTACTACTTCTACCTTTATACTACTATTCTACTACTCTTCTACTACCACTACTACAACAACTACTCCTGCTACTCATACTTCTAATACTTTAGTATCATTACTAAAACTACTAGTAGTACTACTACTTCTACTACTACTACCTTTATACTACTATTCTACTTCTCTACTACTACTTCTACTACTACTACTACTACTACTACTCATACTACTACTTAAAATGATTATAACGGAAAAACTGTGCATGTCATTACAAACTCGTAGCTCATGCACAGTTTTTCCTTCATAATCATTTTGCCTTCGGCGTAGACTAGAAGGGATGAGATTTCTGCTAATTGCGCTTCAGCAATGGCGCATCGTGTCGATATAGGTACTGCCAAATGAAGGAAAATTAGCATAATTTACATATTTTAGTCATGTTGGGGGAATTATCATGTTTCGTTTGGGCATATTGTTTGTGTGAAAGTTATCTGATCAAGAATAATGGGTTGTACCGAAGGTTATATATGATAATTTAATGAAATTAGCAGAAGTGTTGTTTTACTAACTAGTACATAATGCATGTGTCATTTGTAAGACGCACCTTTTGACCCCCGGGGATGTTAGTCATGGTTGCGTCATGTTCCCCAAAATCGTGACGCACAGTACCGTCATGGCCGCAAAATGTCCGTCACAATACTGACCCATATGTGCGTCATAGTAAGTCACTTTACCACGTTGCGTCATTTGGTGTTTCAATGGGACCGTCACTTTCTCCAAGCAGAAGCGTTTCTCAAATGTGCGTCATTGGCTAGTCATTTTCATGAAATGGTGTGTCATATGTTTGACTCAAATGTGCGTCGATGGAATGTAATGGTGTGTCACTTTCTGTGACGGAAGGTGCGTCATGGTATCAAAATGTACAACTCACATCGGTACAATGACGCACCATTTCCGGGGGTCAAGAGGTGCGTCTTACAAATGACAAGTGCATAATTGCCTTCTTATACGTGTAAGTAAAGGGAAGATATTCAGGAAAGCTAGTTTTCCATGCAATCAAAACCGCGCTGACCAGATTAAACTTATAAAAAAGCAGAAACACGAAGTTGCAAACCATCCAGAGACTCCTTATAAATTGTGTTACTGACTAATTAATTATATCATTACAAATCTTTATTCTCAGTTTTCTTCTGTATAACTGATTTTCTTATAAAACTGAAGATAGGGCATATACATTAAATACTGAATGAACGCTATTAAAGTTGATACTTATAGGAAATATTACCAACAACAACAACAGGAAGGCAGGATTGTATATTTAGGTATTTCCACTCCATTTAATCCAATACGTCCATCCTGGCCAGCCTCACCGAGGCTAACTTTAAGTTGGTGTTTACAGTCTGCACTTGCGTTGAGTTCACACTAACTGTTGTTTAGGTAAGCATTAAAGCTTTTCGACATATAACTCGAGATTCTGGTCTGATTTCTTTAGAGCAGTGAAACGTAGACAAAAGGGTGAGAATCAGTGACTGTTAGGTGATTACGAAGCATGGATTATTAATTGCTCGAAGGTTGATGCTGTGCATAAGAAGGGTGTAGATTTACTGCCCACAGGGTGTGAAATCAATCATATAGGGTATAAAATTCAACCGCACGGGTGTAAATTTGAACCCATTTTTCATGAAAATGGAACCAAAAGGTGTTAATTAAGCACCATCGGGTGCAAATTTCAATCCTCAAAGGGAGTAAAATCATAACCTTGGGGTGCAAATTTACACCTTCTTGTGGGTTGTAAATTTACTCCCTACATTGGGGAGTAAATTTACTCCCTGAGGGGTGTCACTTATGCATCAAGCATTTACTCCCTACAGGGAGTAAATTCAAACCTCTTTTTCTCTGTGTGTACTTATTCAAATCGTGATATTTCAATCATTATGACTCATGGAATTTACTGTAGATAATGACCAAACTTTTTTTTTTATTGAAGAATAATGTGTTACCTAGTCATCTCAAATAATAACAGACTACCTGCACTCTTACAACTTAACACTTATATGTATCAGGTAATCCTAAGAAGAAAAGAGGAAAATCCAGGACAATACAAGAAGTCCTACAATCAACTGTCAACAAGACAGCTAAATAATCCTGGTCCTCATTTGAATACAACTGTGTAACCACAGAATAAAACTTGTATATAGCCATGTAAAACCATGAAACGTTTACTCTACCTAATGAGAATAAATCAAATAAATAATGAATGAATAATAATAACGAAATGAATAAATAAATCTACTTCGAAACGCAGGCATAATTACAAATCAAAAACTAGAGCTCCAATCATCTTACAAATATATACATGCGATGACATCCATATTTGCTGTCACTGATTTTGAAACAGGTAGAATTGCAATCTTATCACTGGATGAAGAACATGCTAGGGCATGCACTCTCACCCAAATTGCCTCCATATAAACAGCAGTATTCAGAGGATTACCAATGAGGT